CCCCTGCTCACAGACCAAGTTTGTGAGAACAGCCATAGAGTTGAAGTCTGAGAAAAATGAAGCAAATAACAAAGTGTTGTCAAGGACCGGGTAAAAATTTGTGAAGGGCAAACTCCCGAAAGGGCTACTTGTTAAACCCTTATTGAAAAATGCCTAAATTTAGGCATTTGCATGGATGTATACACATGTTATCCTTCTGCATGGAAAGGAATAGGCATGTCATCCCTGAACTAAGAGCTGATTTATTAGCTTGGTTGGTCATAGACAGTTTAAATATGGGAATGCTCTGCAATGGACTTTACTAAGTGGTGTATAGGAGAAGCCCTAAATAGAAATTTTGCAGGGATATCAAAAGTTAGGCATGAAGGCCTTTCTGCTTAGGATGGATCATAGGAGTGTGGAAAGGATGTGGAAGTGATTGGTATGATTCAGGGTGCCAATAGCAGAATATACAACAGAGAGGGTATTTACTGAAAGTCACGTAGTTCTTAAAGTAGGTATAAAGTTAAAGTTGGGCTCTGATTGCTTCCTTGAGGTGAATAACACCAGGTGTGGCAACAATCAGTATCCCACCTCCCTGTCAACCCATGAATTTTGTGTTCCATATTTGAGATCTAATTTTGATTATCTCTAATTATGCCCCAGTGTCATGAAGCTGAAATTCTAATTTTTTTATACATGGATCGAATTCATGACCTATGCTTTCCAGGCAGGTGTTTATGCCACTGAGCTAAATACCCAGCTATGAAAGTGTTTTCTGTATAATACGGAAGATATCCACATTGTTTCTCAGAAAGTGTTGAATATTTTTGGAATTTTGCTGTATTGTATGGCTATAATTTTTAAAAACAAACCACAGTTGTCTTATGCAGTCTTTTTTCAACTTTTACTTTCTCTGTGGGGTGTCTGAGTCAGGGTTTCTCTATTTTAGACAGCTCTGTAACTTAGGATAGCCCCAAATTCAAGGAAGAACTCCTTCACCAGCCCCCAAAGATATATTTCCTATATCTGAATGGAAAGAGACACTGCAGTATAATTTGCAGCTTTTGCCTGGTTTCATTTTTTATACATTTTTTTAAATACAGCTCTTTTCCACTAACATTTGAGTTATTATTTATGTACCATATTTGATGTTATTTATGTTTTGTTCTATGAAATCAAATTCATATTTCAAAATGCTGCTTAAGTATATTAAGAACAAAGTACTCCGTGGTCTAAATGACATTCAAAGAGACATCATCTGTAGTCTGTCAAAGTGATTGATCAGATATTTTTTTTCCTTTTTTTAATTTTGAAAGTGATAAAATACAACAGAACAAGACAGAATAAGGCCAACTAAGATCTTACAATGAAGTTGGTACAGAATTTCACAGCAAGTTTCAGGGATAACAGTAATAAATATCACAGTGTATTTCATTATCTTTGTAATATTTGTTCTTTCAATCATGTGTATCAAAATGAGATGAACTATTGAACATCATAGATCTTATCAAAACAGAATATTTAATAGACTAGTACCATTAATCAGAATAGGGCAAAACAGTAGTAAAAATATTTGCCTTCAAAGAGATAGTAGAAGGAAGTCCCCCTTATTTGATATGGTCAACTTCCCAGGAAATGCTCAGATTTCTGGTTTCCATTTGCTAACGGGGATGACAGGAGAAGAGGAATAGGGGAAGTGGGATGTTTAATTATAGGCCGTGCATCAGTAGGTTCACTATTGCTTAGCAGGGAGGCAGGCAGGTTGTTTCATTTCACAGCATCTTAAGTTCCAACATGGCACAGATCTCAGGAGCTGCTGCTGGTTTTCCCCTGGAAGGGTTGCAGTCTGCCACACAGCCACCACTTACCAAGGAGGGTCAGTGCTTGCTTGGCTTCCCAGTGTCCTAAGTTCCAACATCGTGTGGAAATCAGGATGTGCTGCTGGTTCTCACCCTAGAAGGGCTGCAGTCTACAACACCATCACTGCTTACCAGGGAAGAGAGGTGCTTGTTTGGCTTCCCAGTGTCCTAAGTTCCTTCATGGCATGGATCTCAGCAGCTATTGCTCATTCTCCCCCTAGAAGGGCCACAGTCTGCCAGACCACTATGGCTTACCAAAGAGGGCATGTGCTTGCTTGGCTTCCCAGTCAATTGAGATATTTATCTGCCTCTGTGCTTTGTGGATGCTATTCCTTCAGTCTTCTCACTGTGAGCTCTGCTTTAGACACAGTATACAGGGAATGTTGCAGTGACTCAGTACAAGTATCAGTGCTCATATTTGGCTGTTACATTAGCAGTGAGTTGCAATCAAGCATCAAATTTGCTGTTTCCAAAAATGTGTATATACACAAAATTAATGAGCAAGACATGGATTTAAAGACATGGATTTGAAGAAATCAGTCTCCATTCATCTATTTTGTTTGGTTTCATTGTTTAGTTTAGTTTTGTTTTATTGAAACAAGGTTTCTGCATGTATATCAGCTAGATTTGAACACCCTATGGAGCGTAGAATTGCCCTGACCTTACTGAAGCCATCCAGCATCAGCTTTTGAGTGCTGGGATTATAGATTTGTACCACCACACTTTGCTTTTGATTCAGATTTGTAGGATAGAATTTAAGTTATTCCAGACCTGGCATCTCAACCTTCTTTTGAGAAATATATGTATAATCCTTCAGGAGGTGGTGACCTTTGAGGATGTGGCTGTGAACTTCAGCAGTGAGGAGTGGACTTTGCTGAGTCCATCCCAAAAGAACCTCTACAGAGACGTGATGGGTGAAACATTTAGGAACATGACTGTGATAGGTAAGGATGAAACTTTTTGTCACTCATGCTATTAGAATGTTGTTTTTGCTCATCAGTGCTGTTTCATTAAAAAGAATGTGAAAATATTTTGAAAAATATCTCATACATGGTCACATTATATCATAAATCTAATCAAAATCTATTAATTTGTATGTATTACTCTAATGAGTCCTGGTATTTCTATGTCTACAATTCAGGAGGACTTGGGGATATCCAGGAAGCTGAGAAAGAATGCAAAATTCACTGGAGATACTTAAGGTAATTCACACTCACAAGGAAACGGAATGTTCCTGAGTAACTAGTGAGTCAGAAAAATGACCGCCAAAGAAATGAGGCACCATTCAGTTTAATGTCAATAATATTCTCCAAAGGTGTATAACCTAGGGTATGTATAATAAGGGAAATAAATCTTGAAAATGTATGACATTGCATATAGATGTGTATGAAAGGCATATATTTTGAGTTATGACATTCTGCTTTCAGTTTTTCTACCCATATATGCATGTGGATACAACATATTCATTATCTAATAGTTGCTAAGTTTGCAATAGAATTTGAAATAAAATTGAGTGCTCATGTTTCCAAGTCTTGCTCCAGAGAATCAGCTATTTTGATTAAAATTCTTAGTAGGCTGGTGGAATGCTAAGTGCACTCATTCTGAATATCAGTATGCAGTGGTCTCCAGGAGGTGATTTCCTCATACTTCTGGATATATTTTTAAAAACTCAAAATCAATATAAAATACTGATACATGCTTACTCATATACAATGCAGATCCATTTATAAGAGATCAGGCTTGAAGCAGCTTAGCTATCTATCACTGGATTTGTGGAGTAGGAAAATGTTAATCGACTCTGTGTGATTGTGAATTCTTGTAAACCCAGCACCCTAGGAATCAGATTTTGCAGAATGGCAAACTCAAGTTCAACCTTCACAGTTTAAAGATCAGTGAAAATCTCTTAAAATGAATAAAAAATCTAGAGATTTTATGCTAATACCTGTAGTTCATTCCCAGCATGGAAAAGAAAAAAAATGTGTTATATAATGTCAAAAAGTAAATAACATAATGTCATTTGGCACAATAAACAGGCGGCCTTTCTCCCATGAATTCAGTGAAATAGCTCAGCTATAAAACCTAAAACATCAAAGGGTTTCTTTTCGATGACAAACCAAAATATAAACTGTGGAATGAAATGAAAGACAGTTGACAGAGAAAGGTAAGACTTACCCTTTGGAAAAGGGAACTACAAGTTAAGGATGGAAGGGAGATGGTGATGGGGGAACATATCACAATGATCTGCATGTGATACACATATGTACCCATGCCCAAAGTGAAGCTAAATATTCTGCATTTCAAAAGGAAACAACTTTTGAGATTTCCAAATGTGTACCAGTCTTTTGGGAATGGTTGTTTTCAACATATCTTACAAGGCATTCTGTTGCTTCATTGTCAGAATTTCTTAGCAGGCATTAAAAACAGAACTTGACATTAATGCAGTCATTAACACTGAGACCCATTTCACTGTGATTTTGCTCTTTTTTTAAAATTTTATGTAAGAAAAGACTTAACAAAACAAAATAATTAGAAATAATACTACTTTCATTGTGAAAATAAACAGTAAGAAATCACAGGTCAATGATTATATATGATGCTCAGAGAAATAGTTAATCAAGATACAAAAGTGAAATATATGAAGTGGGGATTCAACAGTGAGACTGCAAACAGCTTTGTTCAACTCTGCATCTAAAACTTAGTAATACGGTTATTAATCCTATATGTGATTTTTTTCTTTACAGAAATGACAAGCTAGGGAAATCCTATGGACATACATCCTGGAATCAATGTAAAGAAGTATTTCTTTGTACTGCAGAAAGCAATGTGAATGTGAAAGAAACAGAAACACAATACAATGTTCAGATCCATGAAAAATATTGCAGTGGAGGGAAACCCTATGTATGTAAACAATGTGGGAAAGGTTTTACCACACATGGAATTTGTAACAAACATGAAAGAATTCACAGAGGAGAGAGACCCTACATTTGTAAGCAGTGTGGGAAAGCTTTTACAACACATACGTATTGTCAAGTACATGAAAGGCTTCACTTCAGAGAAAAACGTTATAAATGTAAGCACTGTGAGAAAGCTTTCAGCACATGTACTTATTGTGTAATCCATGAAAATCTTCACACTGGGCAGAAATCATATATATGTAAGAAATGTGGGAAAGCTTTCAGCAGTAACATTAAATGTCAAATACATGAAAGAATTCATACTGGAGAGAAACCCTATGTATGTAAGCAATGTGGAAAAGGTTTCACCCAACTTGGAAATTGTAAGAAACATGAAAGAATTCACATTGGAGAGAAACCCTATGTATGTAAGCAATGTGGAAAATGTTTCACCCAACTTGGAAATTGTAAGCAACATGAAAGAATTCACACTGGAGAGAAACCCTATGTATGTAAGCAATGTGGCAAAGCTTTCACCACATGTGGAGAGTGTAAACAACATGAAAGTATTCACACTGGAGAGAAATCCTATGTATGCAAGCAATGTGGAAAAGGTTTCACCCACCTTCGACACTGTAAGCAACATGAAAGAATTCACACTGGAGAGAAACCGTATGTATGTAAGCAGTGTGGAAAAGCTTTTAACTCACGTGCATATTATAAGATACATGAAAGAATTCACACTGCAGAGAAACCCTATGTATGTAAGCAATGTGGAAAAGCTTTTACCTCACGTGCATATTGTAAGATACATGAAAGAATTCACACTGGAGAAATACCCTATGTATGTAAGCATTGTGGGAAAGGTTTCACCCAACATGGAAGTTGTAAAGAACATGAAAGAATTCACACTGGAGAGAAACCCTATGTATGTGATCAATGTGGGAAAGCTTTTACCACACATAGACAGTGTAAGAATCATGAAAGAATTCACACTGGAGTGAAAACCTATGTGTGTTAGCAATGTGGGAAAGCTTTTACTACACGGGGATATTTTAATCACCATGAAACCATTCACTCTGGAGAAAGTCCATATGTATGTAAGCAATGTGGAAAACCTTTTAACACACATGGAGTTTGTAAGCAACAAGAAAGAATTCACACTGGAGAGAAACCCTATGTATGTAAGCAATGTGGGAAAGTTTTTACCCAACATGGACATTGTAAGCAACATGAAAGTATACACCTAAAATAAATCCAGTGTAAATAAGCTTCACGACAATGGTTTGAGCTCATGTACCTATTGCATAATGCATGAAAATCTTCACACTGGGCAGAAAACTTATATATGTAAGGAATGTGGGAAAGGGTACAGCAGAAATGCTCATTGTCCAATACATGAAAAATTCACACTTTTTTTTGCCTTTTTTTTTCCTTTTTATCGGTACCGGGGATCAAACTCACAACTGCCTGCTTGCAAGGCAGGTGCTTATGCCACTGAACTAAATCCCCAGCCCCAAATTCACCCTTTGAGAAACCCTACATATCTGAAGAATGTGGGAAAGCTTTCACCACCACATGGATATTGTAAAATACATCAATTACTTCACACTGGTGAGACACGCTATGTATATAACAATGTGGCAAAGGTTTTATAGCATATAGTGATTTCAAAACACATGAAAGAATTCACACTGGGAAGAACCACTGGCTATGTAAGCAAGTGGAGACACTTTCAGCAGCCAGAGTAAAATTGAAGTACATGAATAAATTCACACTAGAGATAAATCCTATGTGTAATAGGAATCCTCTCAGCACACATGATAATTGTTACATATCTGAATGAGCTCACTGGGCTGATATCCTATGTGGATTAGCAATGTGAGAAATACAGCAATCCATATTTGTTGTTAAATACATAGAAAAAGCGTTAGTGGTCAGACAATTTAGATATAAGTTTACTTTAAAATTCCCTAGGAAACCTGTAGAAATAATCAATACAGAAGTTTGATGTAAACATTTGTTCACAAAATTTCCAGAAATGATAATCTGAGGTGGAGCTCTCCTCAAGTGCAAATGTAAGGTTTTCAGTTAATCACTTGTACCTCTAGATTTTTTAAAGTGTCTTTGTTCTCAACATGGCATCTTGTAAGTAAACATGGTAAACTGAAATGTGCTTTTCACTTTCAAGTATGGATAGTGACTGTTGTAGTCAGGGGCTGTATACAGAGATCAGTTGTATCCAGACAGAAGTTTATAATATTATTTTTATGATAGTCATGGGAGTTAACACAGGAACATGCAGGAAGTCTATCTGTAACATCAAAGCCAGATTATTTAGTCAAAAGCCTAAACCCCACAGTGATGTCCCACATGAGTCCAGATATAAATCCAGAGCTCAGGATAATGACTCCCATGAGTCCAACTGGAGGTCCAGAGCCCACAAGAAGGACTCATGGAGTCTCTTTTATGAATCCATGCTGGCAAGACCTAAGGGTCAGTGGTGGAAGCTAGAAAGCCTATGCCAGCATGATGAAGGAGCTGTGCTAGTGGGTTGAGTGTTCTATGTTGGAGCTGAGAAGTCACACTCACAAAAAAGAACAGGGCTATCCTGAAAGACACCTCAGCAACATGAAGGGCCCAAGTTCCTCTGATGACAACCACAGTCGGGTACATGCCAGGAAGCAGCGTGATGAGTTCATCATGGAGACCAAGCAGCACATGTCTTCCCATCTGGAGCCAGGAAGCAATGCTCGATGTGAGGACCAAGGCTTCTCCTGGAGAACCAACAGCTCAGACAGCAACCCATAGGAGAACCCATAATGCCCCCTTAATGCCTCAACCCTCATCAACTTCCTTCTCCATCTATTTATCCTGGCAACTTTCTGCATGTGGAGCATCTTTGCTCAATGCCATGCTGATGTAATACAGCTGGCGTTAAGATGACAACCAGTTCGTAATGCAAAACAGTGTCTATGTACTTAATGTTTTGTCTTTAAAACTTAATTTTTATATTTTTTGGTGAATTGTAATGTTTTTTATTTAAAGAGAAAAAAAGAAGGGTAGAAATAATAGTGAATCAGAAAAATAAACAATAAGAAATCATGAGTTGGTAAGTTACATATTATCATCTTAGAAATAGCTGTTAATGTTACAAAATTAAAGCATACAAAGTGACATGGAAATAATGACACCATGAAGAGTTCTGCTCAATGATCCAACAAAAACTTAGTAATATGCTTATCTGTCCTACATACTTATTTTTTATCTTAAAGAGTATAAGACTAAACATGACAAAACAGAACTGAACAGTTCATAAAAAAACAAGTTAAGGATACACACATTTCAAAGCGAGTCCACTGGAGATGTCCATTGTCTATCTTACTGTGTTTAGTTTTCTTCCAAATAGTTGTTACCATCTTCACATGCATTGAATATATACTGAACATTATAGAATGAATGAAATAATTGCAGGATGATGAAGCCTTTTTCAGTCTTCAAGACCTGATTTTGGGGGAAGTGAATAATGACTACCATAATGTCTCTCAATCTCTTCATAGTTGCTGTCTTTATCTTTAGTATGCTCAAATTGAGCATAAGAGACTAGACTAATATCACTCTGAACAGTCAATAATAGTATCCTGAGAAGGAGAAAGGTGAGGAATTGCCTAAAAAAGAAGGCAGAGGACATTGTTAAAAGTGTATCAGTATTTAAAACCTACAGTAGGCTTACTGCTCTGTTTAGTTTGATTATATTTTGTTCCGGTCTGTCTACTCATATTAGATTTGAGGGCACAGACATATAACCCAAAAATAGCAGGTTATACCATGGTAACTATGCTTAATTTCCTATTAACTTAAACTGAAACCCCGTATTACTTACATTGCCTTACTATGACTGATCTTATTTGAACCTGGTTTGTTTGAATGCTATTTGGCCTTGACTAATTTTATTAACATTTGGTATGCTTGCTATTATCAAGTCTAAGAGTAGAGGCAACTACTGTGAAGATGACAAGATAAAAGATACCATTGGGGGGGGCTGGAGATTTAGCTCAGTGGCTTAAGCACCTGCCTGGCAAGTGTGAGTTTGTGAATTCGATCCCCAGTACCAAATAAATAAATAAATAAATAAAAGATACCCATTCCAGGTTTGATTATTAACTGCTTTCATGTCCTACAATGTCTTCAAAGTTCTGTTTTTATAAAGATAGCTATGTAATGTTATGCTTAAATTTATAATGCCTGATGATGTGGACAATTCTATTGAAAATTACAAGAGAAAGCATAGTAAGTACTGTACATCATCTAATATTGTGTTCTTATAAATCTTTTCATATCATGATTTTCTAGTAATTTGTTTTCATCTCTTTTTCCCCATAATACAGAAAGGATAGATATACACATAGAGATTCACAACTGGGAAGAATTTCTAACCTGTTTATGGGAACAAATTATATAATACACGATGTAATGAACACATACTCTGAAAGAGAAGAGACACTAAGAAACCCAGTGGTAATTCTGCAGTGTTATGATATAAAATCTAGCAATTCTATTATTCATTGTTCAGAGTGATATTAGCCTAGTCTCTTTATTTTTTGGTCAATTGTAATTTTAACACTGCATTTCCTTTAATCTTTTGATGCACATGCTTTATTTTCTCTTCCATAAATGATGTTTCTGTAGTTGATGCAATATTTGGCATTTGGCATTAAGATATACATTTAGAGAGGCTTGGAGTATGTGTTTTTGACAAAGTTGTGTTCTTTTAAATAACATGTACATTAATTAATTAATGTTATGTTTTCTATGTTGTGATGAGATAAGATACCTGTTGATTTCCTAACATCACTGGATATTATACCATGTATATTATGTTGCCTGATTTCCTTTCTCAGTGGAGCCAATATTTGTCATTTAAGTAAACCTGTTTTTCTAAGCATCAGAATTTAACTGTTATGTTTATATTATATCTTTACTTTGCTAGTAATGTTTCCCCACATGTACCAAAAGTAAGCCATACTACTGTGATTTTCTGATTGCCCCATACTGACAGAACCAAAACTTGTCTCCAATAGCACATCACAAAATAGATTAATATCTCCAGAAATTATAAAATTTGGCATGATTTATGAGTAATCATACTTTGAAATGAATTTTTCTTAAATGTGGAGTTGTTTTGAGAAAAAAGATTGTTATTGGATGTATCATGCAAATGCCTTTATTTAATTCCTTGATGCTGTGAATGCATTATGCATTTTGTAATCATTACTGCTTTTTCTTAAAACATGAAGTAATGGCATGAAGGGAAACCTAAATTTTGAGCTGTCAGCACAGTAAAAAGTAAATTTGCTAAATTAAGATTGAGATTGTGTTCTTCTTTACTGAATTTATATAATGTCATATCTCTTTATTTATAAGGACCAGTGCTTGATGTTTGTGGTGTGTGCTGTTTATCGTTAAACACATACATTGGGCCATGAGTCCCAGTTGGTTTCCTGTGGCTTGTGGTTTTCATTTCCATTTTAACACTCATGTAATTTGTAAAGTGTTTAATGTAGTGTTGCTGAATACAAACTCTGCTTAGGTTCCAATGTTATTATGTTGTTAAAAACTGTAGTGTCATGCAAACACAGTGAGCATTGCATTAAATGCCCCTAATCTGGTAAAGATAGCTTGCCCAAGTCTCAATTATCCTTGGACAAGTATATGACTAACCTGTTGTGTAATTACCACTAAAACTATATCCACTTGGTACTTGAAGTACTCAATACACTTCAC